TTACCTCTAACCCTTTGTGGCAACCAGCCTCAAGCTGTTGCAACAACTTCATGTTTACTCTAACTTGAATAGTACACTCAAAGTACCTAGTACAAATGCTTCTAGATAAAGCTAAAAGGTACAACTCAAAAGCCCTACTACAACTGTACTAGAATAAAAGACAGACACTTGGAACTAGTTCTTCTATCTGGTTCATGGAGTTTCAAGTTCCCACACTTGAAACACACAGGAATTGCTTGCAAAATGCCTTTATATTTTGCTATCAACTCTTGCTTAACTTCAGCATTTGTGCGTCACCTGTAAAAGAGAACAACCTGATATATATAGAGTTAGTAGAATAAGAAATAACTAGAGTTCTAATTCTATACTCTTCCTTGGTGGAAGAGTTCTAGTTATCTTCAACTTCTAACTGCTTCCTTAACTAGGATAGAGTTCTCTTCGAGTAAGGAGTCCTGCTCCTTATTAATTATGCAATCTTTTCGTTCAGGAGATATCAGATATAACTACATAAGCTTATCTCCTTCACGTGCATGCCTTGTGCCTGAATCTGCCCGTGTCTGTGTACATTGTGTATGGACCAGGTTCATGCGTGTATTTCTTTGTCAATGATAAAAACAAACTTACCCATGCCAACATTGGCTGGAAATACAAGAAAAGATAAGACCATGAAATAACACGCACTCCCATCGTTTCAATTTAGCTGACGCATTCGCTTATCAAGGATCAAATTGTGTGAAGTTTGATCAATATTTTAAAATATATTTTGTTATCATATTGATATGAGAAGAATTATAACTTATAGCACTTTTCGTGTTGTTTTTGAATATTTAAAGTTTATTTATAAAATATTAAGTTAAACTAATTTAATTTAATTTTAAAATTTAGTCATATTGACTCGCGATAAGTGAAATGTGTCATCTAAATTGAAACAAAGGGAGTATCTTTTAACGTAAAATGAACGCAACAAGCCTACGACTCTCCGTTGCACAAATGACAAGATTGAAATGATAAATGTTAGGTGATTTCTTTACATCTATTTAAATTTTGGTGCTAGAGTTACATTTTTAATTTGTATACGTATACTAAGGTAATAGATACAATGTAAAATATGTGTCCTCTTCACATATTCCTGCAAATTTTTGTTATTTACTACTTTCGTTTCGTCACTTTAGAAAGAATGAAACATTTTTAGAGTTTATGGTCTAAGTATGGCATGACATTTTTGTGGTGATAAAATAATGTCACAAAAAAATATGACATAGGTTATAAGACGCATCAGCACTGTTTGCGGTCGAGAGAAAAATAATGTACAAATGTGGAGCTTCAAATAGACAAAATACGAAAAATACATATATCTAGATATGGATTTAATGTACATATGATAACTGAAACTTAACTTTATTAATGATAATCGAGTTCTTTTATTTAATTATACATTAGCTTAAGTAGCAATATGAATTAACATTATTTATCTTGAATATTAATCATTAATTAGTGACAACTAGCAAGACATGTATCTGGAGAAACATAGCATGCTTTATCCACAGTGCAACACCATCTGGGAGGTACGCCTGGATCAACAATTGGGATGCATGGATTGGCTGTAACTTCTGCTTTAACTCTTGTACATTCATCACCTGCATTTCGTGAAAATAAGAAAAAATATAAGACATTAACGTCGGTTTAAGGGGCAAGTGCACATATAGTAATTCTCAGGAACGCTATTTAAATATTAGTCAGTACTTATTTTGTCTTGAATTTTAAACTAAAAATTCTAACTTCAAGACTATTCAAGACATTTTTGTCCCGAAAAATTGAACTAAAAAAATTAAAATTTAGGACGCACTGGTTAATTCCTAAATAGCAGCCCTATAGAGTGGCTACCTGGTGTCATCTACATAGTTTTTTTATTTTTTATTTTCTTTACATAGTTTAACTTCTATATATACAGACATGCGTAAATTTTTCTTTTTTATACTTTCCAATCACCTAAAAGAGAATAACCGTCCTTAAAAAGCGGAATCAGTAACCTGAAAAAGAAATCCTACTTTAACAGATTTAAATATACTGATAGTGTAAAATATTTTTTACACTGTCAATCTATATATATATTGGATTAAAACATTGGAATAAATATGGCCATACAATGATGAAGAGCCAACAAGGAGAACAAAACCATGCAAAGCAGCAAAACTGACTGAAGGGAGAATTTTGTAGAGGCCATGATATGATTTAGTGCTACAATGTCAAAAGATAGTGAGAAATAGCTAAGGGATTTTCCTAAATATATAGTCCTATAGAAGTACTTGATTTTGGTAACTAACACAAACTAATGATTAATTTACCAAGTTATTTCCTAATTTTTTATAATCTAGCTAGAAATACAACATTGAAAATCTTATCTACTTACCTTTTTCATGCTTTATTTGAACGCCCCTCACAATGGTAATTAGAATATCAATACAACGGAATATATATCTTACTTTCTATTAAAAAAATTTGGGACAAGAGGGGTTGCTCTGATGGTAAGCAACCTCCACTTCCAACCAAGAGGTTGTGAGTTCGAGTCTCCCTAAGACCAAGGTGAGAAGTTCTTGAAGGGAAGGATGCAGATACCCTCCCCAAACCCCACTAAGTGGGATTATACTGGGTTGTTGTTGTTGTTGTTTCTATTATAAAAATTTAAAGCTAAAATCTTAAATTTAATTAATACAAAATTAATCTTCTCCTATTGGTTTTTTTTCCTCCTCTATTGTAGCATGTGGTCGTCCATGTTCTTGAACATTTTTTTTGTTCATTTTGTAAATGATCAGGATAATTAGACTATTCAATGAACAACCATATGGTAAAATCAGACTTTCAGAAAGAAAAAAAGAAGTTGAGCAATTGATGGCAAGAAATCAAAATAAAGAAATGTGCAAAATATTTTGTTATTATTTGTGCAAAATTCAGAAAACAAATAAGTTGAGCATTATCTACACAAAAATGCAAAATATTAGGAAATCAATAAATTCAAGAAATGGTTTTAGATAATCTATTTCAAAGGGTGGACGAAATATGAGGTTAATTCTCATCAGTATGAATAAAAAGGGATAGAAAATCCCCCTTGATTTATTTTGTTATTATTTATTAGTTAGATTATTAGCATTGGTCCTTACGTATACGAAAGGAGAAGACCATTAGATAATATAATTGACCCGTATTCATCAAAAAGTTACTGTAAAACACTATGCATGCTAGGAATATTTTTTATCTGAATCTGTTGAATCGTTTGTTTCTAGAGTTGAAGGTCTATCGGAAATAACCTCTCTACCTTCATAAGGTATAAATAAAGTTTGTATACACATTACCTTTTTCATGCCCCACATTGTGGGAATATACTGAATATGTTGTTATTGTTTGTTTGTCTTTTGAATCTTTTAAATCTTTTTTTTTTTGTATATAAAGGCCCGAATAAAGTCAGGCTTCAATTCATGCAAGGCGGTATAGTAATGCCAAGTTTCAATAGTTATCTTACCTTCAAAACTAGGTTAAGCTTTAGATATTAGTGTACAATTAGGCTCTGCCAAGTAACTTCCTCAGGTCTAATTTTGAACATAATTCAAACTAAATTCATAATCATACCTTTCGTTCTGAAGTTAGTTTTTGTAGGCCCAACTTTATACCCACATATTAGAAGTTTAAAACTTTAGACCCACAATTTTCAACTTCAGTTATATCACGCGAGTCTAATTATTTTATTCCGAGGCGTTAGAATTTGTTTTTGTAAATTTTGAATATTTTTTAAATAGGGATCCTAAAAATGACTATTTGTGCACTCCCCTAAATTCTATACTCGCCCAAAAGGCCTGAAAATTACACCCCCTAATAATTTGAGAGGTGGATCAACAATTATTAAAAGTTTGTGCAAATTTTCAGAATGAGAATGGCGCATTAGTTGGCTGAAAATATAACAAAAGATAAGGCCAAGAAATAACAAGTATATTTAAACGCAAAATGAACGCAACAAGTCTACGACTCTCCATTGAAGGAATAAATGTTAGGTGATTTTTTCATATTTACTTAAATTTTTGTGGTAGAGTTTATCCGTTATTCATATTGGTGGGAGGTAACAGATACAATGCAAAATAGTTGTATACGGTAGAATCGGAGGGTCCGATTTCCCGTCATTAAGGCGTTTCGGAAGATCACCTCGAAGCCTCGAGGCTGCAAAGATGCGCTCGAGTCTTCTTCCTCGAAGCTCATCGACACCCATCCTGAAGAGAATATCGATCGAGGCTAGAGTAAAAATTGGAGTTCCCAAGACACGCGGCTAAGTCTGACAAAGCCGGCCTACCCTGAACCCAGATCAGGGTGTCGCATCTAGTTGTCCCATCTCCATATCTTTACTATTAATGTATGTCGTACCATATAAGGTTTTCCCTCTATATGAAGGGGATCCTTATCATTTTATAAAAGGACTGATGTTGCTCAAACTATTCTATACGAAATATATGATAACTCTCTCTCCCTTTTCTCTCTAACACACTCTCTCGATATTATTGCTCTTATTTATTATCTTCATACTTGTTCTTCATTTATTGCTTATCATTGGCCATAAAGAGCCTCTTTAAATTATATCACGACTGTTAGCCCTTCCCCGATTGCCCCTAATAGCTCGAGCCCGAGCTCGGGAATTGACCTCGAGGCCCCAAAACGACGAGCTCGAGGCCCTGAACGTCTGACCCATCGGTTCGAATATAACACTATTTTAGCTCGCATCTCATCCTTAAAACTTCATACACAGAGCATCAACTGCTTTACAACTAGCATAAAAATAGATCACGTATTTTTAGAGTCCCATCAATAAATTTAATTGTTATTACCATTTTCATGGTAAACAGTTTGGCGCCCACCGTGGGGCTAAAAATAATAGTGATTATTTTCTTGCTGGTTTCATTACACAATGCAAGTTATCTTACACACTTTTTCTTGTCCAGAATCTTCGATTTCAGGTCAATATGTCTGGCTCAGTGAACATAGTAGAAAACGACGACCTCGAAAATCACGGAGAAGACAGTGTGGCTGTTCCAATTGTTGGCGCGCCGCCACGGAACCCCGAGAATGCACCTGGGCCAACTCCAGCGGACGCGGTCTCGCGCGACGCACAGCAGATCGACGAAACCTCACGCACCGACAAGAGCATACAACAAGGTGACCAACAAGAAGCCCAGAATACCCCAGCTCGGGAAGAACAAGAAGTTTGCCTTTATATTATTTTTGAAATGTTGCAGGCACAACAGCTGACTATCGCTCAGCTGCAAAGCCACACAAAAACTCCCAGTACCGTAGCACCGGAAACAACTCCCCCGGCCGAACAGATACCAGAGAGATTGAGCAATAATGGTTCGATAGCCGACCCTGCTATCGTAAAAATGCTCGAAGATCTTACCAGAAGGATCGAGTCGGGCGAGAAAATGATAGCAGCCAACGACAAGAAGGTCGAAACTTACAACTCCAGGGTTGACCAAATCCCGAGCGTGCCCCCTGTCCTGAAAGGCTAGACTCGAGGAAGTTCGTGCAGCGGCCGTTCCAGGAGGAAGCGGCTCCAAAACCCATTCCAAAGAAGTTCAGAATGCCGGAACTCCCGAAATACAACGAGACCTCAGACCCCAACGAGCACGTTACCGCCTACACGTGCGCAGTGAAGGGCAACGACATAAAAGACGATGAGATCGAGTCCGTCTTGCTGAAGAAGTTTGGGGAAACGCTCTCAAAGGGGGTCATGATGTGGTACCATAATCTAGCTCCCAACTCCATAGGCTCATCTGCCATGCTGGCAGACTCCTTCATAAAGGAACACGCCGGTGCCATCAAAGTAGCAACGAGGAAGTCTGACGTATTCAAGATCAGGCAAAGGTAGAACGAATGCTGCGAGAGTTCGTATCTCGCTTTCAAACGGAATGAATGGAACTACCCCCGGTCTTCGATGACTGGGCGGTACAGGCCTTCACTCAAGGCCTGAACGAGCGGAGTTCAGTGGCTTCAAGGAAACTGAAAGAGAATCTGATCGAGTATCCTGTCGTAACCTGGTCGGACGTCCACAACTGATACCAGTCAAAGATTAGGGTCAAGGATGATCAATTAGGAACCCATTCGGGCTCATTATACCCCGAACAGGCTCTTAGTAAAGAAATCGAAGACAAATAAAGAAAGGTATCAGCCATACACCGAAGACAGGAGAAATGCCCCAAGACGCAACCCGCCTCGCAATGGCGGACTGATCAATCGAGGGCGGAATCCTCGGGGACTCATTAGCATAGCCAGATTCGACGGAAACACGGGGCCAACAGGGGCACCACGCCTAATAGAATACCACTTCAAGTTGATGTTTCAGACATCGTGTTCGCCATCGGCAAAGTCAAGGATACCAGATGGCCCAGGCCTGTACAATCAGATCTGGAGAGTTTGCTTTGATTACAGAAAGCTCAACAAGGAAACCCGCAAGGACCACTTCCCACTTCCATTCATTAACCAAATGTTGGACAAATTGGCGGGACATGAATACTATTGCTTCCTTGATGGTTGTTCGGGGTACAATCAGATTGTTTTATGCCTAGAGGATGAGGAGAATACCACTTTTACATACCCGTATGGCACTTTCGCTTTCAAGCGAAAGCCGTTTGGTCTTTGTAATGCATTAACCACTTTCTAGAGGTGCATGATGGCTATTTTCATTGATATGATGGAAAAATTTGTGGAAGTCTTCGTAGATGATTTTTCAATCTTTGGATCTTCTTATGATGATTGTTTGAATAACTTAACAAGGTGATGGCCCGTTGTGAAGAAACAAATCTGGTGTTAAATTGAGAAAAATGCTATTTTATGGTAGAAGAAGGTGTCGTGTTGGGCCATAGAGTATTAAGGAGTGGCATTGAGGTTGATAAGGCTAAGGTGGAGGTAGTTGAAAAATTACCTCCACCCATTTCTATGATGGATGTCCGGAGTTTCTTGGGACACGCGGGGTTCTATAGATTCTTTATTAAGGACTTTTCAAAAATTGTTACTCCCTTGTGCAGACTGCTTGAAAAGGATGTATTCTTCAATTTTGATGAAGCCTGCCTGAAGGCATTTGAAGAGCTCAAAAAGAAGTTGGTGTCTGCCCCCATTATTGCGACATCGGATTGGTCCTTACTATTTGAACTTATATGTGATGCAAGTGACCATGCTATTGGGGCAGTGCTAGGCTAGACGAAGGACAAGATGTTTTACTCCATATACTATTCGAGTAAGACTGTTGATGACGCACATCTGAACTACACCACTACTGAAAAGGAGTTGTTGGCCGTTATGTGGGCCTTTGAGAAATTTTTGGCACACTTGGTGGGAACAAAAGTCATAGTCCATACCAATCATGCAGCAATCAGGTATCTATTTACAAAAAAGGAATCCAAGGCTAGATTGATGCGCTGGGTTTTGTTGTTGCAGGAATTTGATGTAGAAATACGAGATCGGAAGGGCACAGAGAACCAAGTAGCTGATCATCCATCAAGGTTGGAAAATCATGACCATGTGGAGGAGGGTGGACAAATTAAGGAGGCAGTCCCTGATGAGCAACTTTTTTCTATCACCCAAGACCCTCCCCCATGGTACACGGATTATGTGAATTATTTTGTGATTGTGGTACTTCCTCCTAAATTGAATCTGAAGCTAGAAAGAGGTTTCTACATGATGTGAACTTCTACTACTAGGATGAGCCATTCTTGTACAAGTAGTGTGCTGATCAATTGATGAGGAGATGCATTTCAGAAAAGGAGGTGGAATTAGTGTTGTATGATTGTCATGAATCACCTTATGGGTGCTATTATGTAGGCGATAGGACATCTGCAAAGGTGTTGCAATCCGGGCTCTTTTAGCCAACACTATTCAAGGATGCCCGTGCATTTGTTAAGAAGTGTGACCAGTGTCAAATAACAGGAACAATCACAAAGAGGCATGAGATGACTTTAAAAACATCCTAGAGGTAGAGAATTTTTATGTGCGGGTGATAGACTTTATCTGACCGTTCCCATTGTCCAGAGGATACAAATACATCTTGCTAGCAGTTGACTACATGTCAAAAAGGTAGAGGTGATTGCATTGCAAACAAATGATGCCAAGGTGGTAGCTACTTTTGTGAAGAAGAACATATTCTCTAGGTTTGGGACTCCACGCGCTTTGATTAGTGATTATGGGACACATTTTTCCAATCTGTTGTGGAATAACCTTCTAGCTAAATATGGGACCTGCCATAGGGTTGCCACGACATATCATCCACAAACAAGTGGACAAGCCGAGGTGTCCAATAGAGAAATAAAGCAAATATTAGAGAAGACAGTGAGTGTGAATAGGAAGGATTGGGCTCAAAGTTATATGATGCCTTGTGGGCATATAGAACTGCATACAAAATACCAATTGGGGCGTCGCCTTATAAACTTGTTTATGGGAAGGCATGACACTTGCCTATTGAACTTGAACACAAGGCGTACTGGGCCATTAAAAAGTTGAATATGGACCTTGAAGCTGCGGGCGAGAAGAGACTTTTGATGTTGAATGAGTTAGATGAGTTCAGGTTGCACTCTTATAAAAATGCTAAGCTTTATAAAGAGAAAACAAAAAAGATGGCATGACAAGCATAGCAAACTACGTCACTTCGAACCGGGCCAGCCGGTACTGTTGTTCAATTCTAGGCTCAGGTTGTTTCCTAGGAAGTTAAAATCGAGATGGTCAGCTCCATTTGAGGTGGTGAGAGTCACTCCTTATGGTGCAATTGAGCTGCGCGCTTTACATGGTGAAATAAGCTTTATAATAAATGGGCACAGAGTCAAGCACTATTGGGGAGGAATCATTTATCGTGAGAAGACCAAAGTAGTACTCGCTGATGAGTAAGCAACGCTCTGCGTCATGCCGCGATGTTAAATCAGGCGCTGGTTGGGAGGCAACCCAATTTTTATTGCTTTCATAGTTTAGTTTTTAAATTTTTAGTTAGAGTAGACTAGAATTTTTATTTTCTTTATAGACACAGAAATTATAGGTACAGTGGTGTGGGACATGTAGATTAGATACACAAAGCGCTCGAGGGATCAGGGAATTTATTCAAAAAAAAAAAATCAAAACTTGCCAAAACCAGCGCCCAGGCCAGTGCCCCACGCTGCATGGGGTGTACTTTACAGTATGTTTAACACCCCCAGTGAGAGGCCTAGCATGGACTGCTGGGCTGGGGGCCAGTTTGTAAATTTTTTTTTTATTTTCGTTTTGTTTATTTATTTATTTGATTAACCAAACCCGACCCATCGACCCATAAACCCTCACATTACAATACATAGCCATACCCACCTTAATTATAAATATTCTCTCTCACTGTAACTCTCTCACTCTCGAACCCTCTGCCCATGACCCCCTCCCTTCAAAATTTTTGATGTTTTTCTCTTCCTCTCTTCCATCAATCATCAAGGTATGTTCCCTCTTCTCCATTATTTTTATCTTATGAGTAAGCTGCCCATTCCCCTCCAAACACCAAGTCCCCACTAGTGTTTCTTTTGAATTTTTTATATGGTGGTTAGGCCTAATGAGAATGAAATTGGTTGACAACACTTGATTGTTGTATTATATACGGAGTATAACAATAACAACAATATACCAGTAATATCCCACGGTGTGGGGCCTGGGGTGGGTAGTGTGTGAGTAGACTTTAACCATACCTTGTGAGGATAGAGAGGCTGCTTCCAATAGACCCTCGGCTCAGGAAAGCATAAGTATCATATTAATAAAAATATAGACAAGGAGGGACGTACCAAAAAGCCATATAAAAGCAGAATAAAAACAACAAGATAGTAAGGTGATCAACAAGTATTATATACGGAGTAGTAAACTAGAAGTCCCTCTACTTCGTTGAAATTTGTGAAGGCCACCATATTTTACCATTGTTAAACTAAGTTGCACACAGTACATGCCTACAAGGTGTTTGATAAAATGTTTGAATCAATATTTTGTGCACCGGTGAAGTCTGAGTAACCGAGTGTAGTTGTATGTGATATCGGGCTAAGTGTGGGGTGTGTGGGGGAGATTTCACAAAAATAGGAGCTTTGCTTTATTGTGCACATGTCGCCCACACCATGTATCTTATATATGTATGTTGTAGCACTTGTTGAACTAGCTAAGGTAATGTAGTAGTTGTAGAAATTAAGGACCATATGCCACATTCTTGCATTAAGGCAAAATCACTTCGCCATGATCGACAACTTGGTTTGTGTGGCATAGCTTGTGAGATATAGTTGTGTTGCACGGGAAGTCTTGAGTACCCATTGCCTTGTGGGGCACCACTTGTGCATTTTAAACCACCATTGTGAGTATAGTACATTGAGCCTTCGGTTTTAAGTGTGGGATCATCTTTGACTCTCACGATAACCTTAGGCGGAATTCTAGATTCTTTCTCACATTCTTGATTATTTGTGTTGTAGGTTGATATGGCTCGTGATAATGCAAACAAAGGCAAGGGAGTAGGAAAGTCCTCAACCACTGCTCCCCGCACCCAAAAAGTGCAAGCAAGGGGAAGGACCATCTAGGCAAGCGAAAGGGAAACAAGTTGCCAACGGACCGACGATGGCTCCATTGAGACCAAGGCCTCGCTTGGATCTAGTTCATGACGATGCCATCCAATGGAGTAATACCTTTGTGTCATATGGGCACTACGTCTCCGAGATGCGCAATAATGTGAAAGCTTTGGTAAAGAACTTCGCAGACGTGCTTGGCCGGTTGCGAGAACTGAACATGGAAAAATTCCTAGAATGCCCCGACCATGCAAATTTGAGCATGCTGCGAGAATTGTATGTCAATTGGAATACGGACTTGTTCATGTCATATGTCCATGGAAAGGACGTGCTGCTGGATAGGCGGTCCTTATGTGAATTTTTGGGAGTTGAGAACTCTAAGCCTCGAAGGCTACAAAAATTTGTAAAAATCCCAAGCTACACGGTGATACGTCTCACTCTTTGTGGCGTCGATTCAAATTCCAAGTGGACCTGAACTAAGGGAGATGCCCATCTTGAGATGATCCGCTTTGATTTCAACAAGACTGCCAGAGTGCGGCAAATTTTTGTGCCGGCTCGCCTCATGCCAGTTGAATATAACAGTGAACGCACTCGTGCTCGAGTGTGTGTGATATTATTTTTAATGACTGGGTGACCCCTAAATGTGGGTGAGATCATGCTAAGGGATATGGCCCCCACACCATTTGGGCAGCAGATCAAGAGATTCTTCTTTGGCAACTTGCACACGCAGTATAAGCTTTCCTGGGAGGTGCCTGAAACCCCGGGTATGACGAGGTTGTGGAGGCTCCTAAGGGGTTGATGGACATAACATCTTTGTTGGAGACTACATCTAAGCTTACCCAGGCAGCACGGAGTGAAAGGGACAAGAACTTCAACAGGTATCTTTATAACTCCTAAAATATTCTCATGAGAAGGATGGGTGTATCAGACGAGGAGCGTATGCATTTACTCAATGATTTGTCTAGTTCTGTAGAAGATATGTTGAGGATGCACCTAGCATTCTTGTTCACCCGTCGGAGGATGAGAACACTTACAAAGGCTCCGACATGGAGGATGAGATCGGTGATGAAGTCACGGGGCACCTGGCTTTGGTGCTGATGAGCCCGGAGATGCGATTGGCGGGCATGCCGAGGAGGAGGACTCAGACTAACAGAGAGTTTTCTTTTCACCCTACTTTGCTTTACATTTTTATGTGCATCAGGGACTATGCATATGCTAAGTGTGGGGGTGAGAGAACTACTTCTTGGGATGTATATTGTATAAATTATATCAATTTGTTTCTTTTTATTAGTTTTTACCTAGTCTAGTTTTAGAAAAAAAAAACAAAAAATATCAAAAAAAATCATAAAAATCTTTTACTTTTCCCGACGATGGAGCTTTTGAACATTCTTCTTGAGGGATTAAAGTCCAATTAAAAATACCAAAAAGATTTTTTTTAAGGATAGTTAGGTAGGATTCCTTGGTTTTTCTTTGGGCACCGATTTTTTTCCAAATGTGTAGCTCGAACCGGGTAATTTATTTTCTTAGGAGAAGGATAGGAAGAAACTGAGTTGCTCTGATGTGCCTATTGACGTGTTTGGTGCTGGCACATTAGACTATGGCATGCGCTATGTCTTCCCGTACATTTTATTTGAATTGTGATGCCTGAGTAAAATAATAGCC